CTTGAACGATTCCAATTTGTGTAAAAAGGGACGATAAAAAGCAATAACATTAAAATATCTAATTCTAAAAGGTTTATAAGTTTACTACAAGCGCAACGGTATGTTAACCGACGCATGGCATATGTTCTGGCGCAATTCATTTGAAACATAAAAAATAACAAAATTAACGAGTTTATCGTCTTTTGTCATTATTTTTGATACGAACGTTAAGCAGCAAATGGCGGGAAGCTATTAATTATGTCATGCATAAAACAACTATAATTTGCATTGAAAATACGTGTAAGCACACACCAGCAAATACGTGCGGAAATACGATTTAATATTGTAGGTATCGATTTTTAAAAATATTTCTTCCGGCGTGAGATGCTCTAGTGGAGCAAGGCGGCCTAAGAAAAATGTTGTGTTTCCTGTTTCAGTCCTGAAAAAAAATAGGGTTAGGTAGGTAGGGATTATCTCTTTTTTTAAAGCTTTGGCGACCTCTAGTGATCCAACTTATACAATACAGTTTAACAAAGTAAAACTTACACGAGGACACGTTCATTTTCATTGTCAATGTTGGAAAATCGATTGAACAATATTTCGTCACTCAGGTGTCAGACCATGGAGCTAGTAAAGGTTGATCAGCTCGAAATATGTACGTCCATTGAAGGGGTCCACACAAAAAAGGCTAGCTATGGGGTCGGCATTTTTTCTAGGGTCGGTCGGGAAACATGAAACACCACATTTTTTCCTAGGCCCAATTAAAGACAGCCCGTTCTAGATATGTCGCCATCGTGGTTCGGCGTTCAAGCCTTGCAGGGGTCCACACAAAAAAAGCTAGCTTGGCAGTTTTTCTAGGGTCGGTCGGGAAACAGGAAACACAACATTTGTTTTCCTAGGCCCGATTACAGACAGCCCGTTCTAGATACGTCGCCATCGTGGTTCGGTGAGGAAGCAATAAGCGGAAGAATCAGGCAGGCAACGATAGCGTCAGCGGCGGGAGGCCGTGTCAGATATTATCGGCTCCTAACATCGGCGCAGCGCGACGTCAACATTAGTATGGAACAGGAACAAAAACTGCATACGTGCATATCCGCGGGAAGGCTGTATACTTTACTGCAACTATGCTATCGTCTAGACTGCTCGAAATATACAGTTTCGCTGGCAGAATTCGGTACAGAGGAGGATCTTCATTATTCTACGACTGACAAAAATTGAGACGGAGGACGCCACATCCTACTTCTTTTGATACACTTGTCACTGAGTCACGTGTTTGCGATTTGCATGAAGTTCACAGAAGTGGTGGATTCATTCCTTGACAAAGACTGGTGTCGTGCAGTCGAGTGCTAAGATGATAATAATCTCCATAGGTAAACGTATATAAACGTATCATCCTGTTGAGGACTGTTGTAGCTGTAGTAGTACTACTTTGAAAGGGCTGCTATCCTGGCTGCGGTCGAAAATCTCAGCGTATGAAGAAGGCCCACGTTACGTGCGGTCACAACCGTGTGACGCCACATTTTTGCTGTGAATCACAAGACACCTGTTTCGCGTGAAAAGAGATGATTCTCCGTTAGACACAGTTGACTGCTGTTGCGGCAGAGGCTCAGATCTGGGAATGGTTTTGACCTTCCAGGCACAGAATACCAACTATATCCGAAGTACGGTAATGTTTCTCAAACGATCCACGCGGGATACCGCACCAATTTCCGCTGTATGTCCGATGATAGCCCCCGACCTTGTGCGTAATGCGTTTGAAACGTGCAAAAAGAACGCGTCTCGCGAATGAAATTACGCCGCCCTTAAATCATCAACTTGTAGCAGGCGGTGTTTGTGAAACTGAACTCAAAATTAGCTATCCTCTTCCTAACTCTCCATGTAATGTTAAGAAATCTGCCAGGCGACGCAAACCCGTGTGCCTTCTTCCTTAGCGCGAGAGCAATCTGACACAGAAACACGGTATGTACAAACCTGGAGATATATAATATTTATTTATTTATATTTAATTATTTATATATAATACTGTATACATGTATAAAACAAAAACAGAAGTCCCGCCCCAGTACGAAAGAAAGATCAACATACTACAAGATTCGCAACACTTACCCGCCTACTAAATACCATCATAATCCAAGCTTGGCAACTACGTCAAACCTTTGTCCACATACATTCACACCGAGACACACGGCAACTGAAAACACATAACCTCATCTTCAAGCAGGTACTGACAGCAAACGGATGTATGGTGCGCGGGATGAAGAAAACTAGGCCAACCGTTCGCATCCGCCATTCGCTAGTATAATACCCTTATCTCTGGGCCCGGTCACTAACATCGATCTGCAGACAAGACATATCTATCTGCCGCGACTCTTCACGGGCGTCGTGTGACATGCTAAACGGTGAAGGCAAATTACCTGAGATCATCTCCCATGAGCTCAGGACGTGACGTTTCACCGCCAGTGGGCTAGCCCCAGGCTGTGGAGGCCCAAGGGCCAGAGAAACATAATCTTCAAGCAGAGTTTTTAGTAGCTTGAAATCTATCTAGTCTTGTTCGCTGTAAGTACGCTTCCAAAACGTCACTCCAAACCCTTTTGGGAGCGGATCTGTAGCCAACAGATTTCAGGCTAGAGGTTTAGGTTTAGGCTTAGCTTATTTTTGACGTGTTTTGGAGCATTTTTATCGGGCTTTGTACTGGTATCGCTTTTTTTACGCCAGCCAAATGGATGTTGTCCCGTCAATTAGATACTGTGTTGCAGCCAGCAAAAGATGCTTCTTGGAGAAACAGATTGCACCCCAAAGCCCTCAAAGGCAGCAGAATCTCTTTCCATTATACCCAAAGTTACTGCTGAGTCGAACAGCGCACGCTTGTCAATTTTTTTAGATTATGGCATACCAATAAAAAAACAGATTTTCGCGTACAAAAATATTGCTAGAGTGGACATAGTCTATGACGACTTTTAGTACTTCTACATGTACATCTAGTTCGTCGCAAGTGTTATAAATGTTTAATCAAAGACAGACTAAATGCGGCAGACGTTGACCTTGTGTTACACCCACGTAGCTTCATTTTTACACTCTGCGAGGAACATAAAAGGGAGGAAGCACGTTTCTTGTGGTAATGAAAGATCTCTCGACATCTGATAACGTAGAGCGGTTTCCAAGAAAACGACAAGCGGGTGCGGTTTCGGCGAAACACGGTGTCTTTATAATCAATGTAAACAAAGGGCGCTTTTTTATTGTAACACACGCAGGATGGAATGTCGTGTGTGTAAATATATTCCGCCATAGATATTCCAAGTGAGAAAAGGGAAAAACGTTTTAACATAAAAATATCCTTTGCTTAAAAACACATTCAAACGCTTGTTTTAGTGCATTTTTATTCCTAAACTACCAAATTGTATATCTAATCGAGCCACATACATCGCAATGAGCAAGGTGCGGCCTTGTAAACGTTTAAATCCTTGTCTCCGTGCGGGTACGTTTTCAAAAACATGATTGACCTAAATACTCGCAAGCCGAAAGGAATATGAGATTTGCAACGCGATCATATCCCCGTATCAAAATACGTGTTCGCCCGAGCTGAATTAAAGGGAATCGATGCAATACTTCGGTAGCAAATTCGGTAGAAATATTTTTATGTCATTGATAATTGTCATATTAAGCGCATATGCGTTATTAGAATTGTGATAAAATGTTTTCATTCATTTTATCCGTTTTTTTACAACGCTTTTCTTACTGAAAATATTGGCAACGTCTTTTCGTACCCTGTCTTTCTTGTTCACGTACCTTAATAATTAAGTTATTCCCGTTCCTAGTCTACCCTTTCCGTGATTGGTTGATCACTGCGACCACGTGACCCATAACCGTTAGTAACGTTAACATCATCATGTGTACAGTGTACGTGTCTGAATCAGAATGTAGCGCCTGTAGCCAGAAATAAAAGGGAATAGAAAGCGGCTTATCGCTTACAAGCCGTAAGTGTGTAAACGGGCCCAAGTCGTACCCTGTCGCGTGGATTACGTCAGTATCTCCTTATATAAGCGTTTTAGGGGTGAAGACCTGTCTCGTTCGAACAATGGTGGATCTGTATTCTCCAAGTAGACGCTGGAAGTCAAAGCTCGATTTCTAGCTCCCTGATTGCGCTACAAACGTATTCTCCAAGCAGATCTTTTGGTGGCTGTAAAGACAGTATAAAATTGGCCAGGCAGTATCTATTTGCTAGACAGTTATATTCTTTACGCCAAAAAGCAGTTACTCAAGCAACTGGATATGATTTTGGAAAAGGTCAGACGTTTCAGCTAGTATTCACTAGCTTTCGTTAGTGACTGAGAGACCAGAGGGGGAATGCATGTTTATAAGTTATATTCTTTCATTTATTCACATCCATTTATTGAGTATTAGGCAAAAAAAAGCACAGGTTGCTTATGTGACGTCTTCTACTCAAAAACATAAAACGAGTAATACACAATGACAAAATAAATACATAATTACAAAGTGGTTGAAAGAAAAATGAGTATAATTTGATTTGAGTTATTTGATACCGTCTTTGCTGCCACCAAACGATCTACTTGGAGATTACTACAAACGGTCCACTCAAACAAAATCGGGAGCAAAAAAAAAATGATGATTTTGCGTTTCAACAATCTGCTTGGTCGGTTGGCATATTTGCCCAATCCCCCGAATTATCTGAAAACATTAGAACGCATCCTCACAAATTTGCACTGCTGTTAATCATTCCATAAAGGGCTAGAAGAAACTTCGTGGAAAACATCTGACAGCAGAATTTACTATCGTAAGACAATCATCTCCTTAACACATTTATACCGCTATTCACTTCCCCGGCTAAGACGCAATCCTTCTGACATCTTTAACCTAAGACTCTTAGCCGACATTGTCGTGGAGATACATGCGCCATACGTTTACACCCTTGATGATATGACGTCTATGGCAGCTCAACTACATAAAGGATCACAGGCTCACAACGCCCTGGAGACTATAAAAACCTAGTGAAATGAATATACCTCAGAGAAGGGCCTCCAAAGCGTTGCCATGTCGTGTGGTGGAGAGTTTGACAGAAGAGATTGTTCTTTGACGATTAGTCTAGGACAGCGTTCTCAGTGACCCAGAAAATAGCCTTCTGCTACTCGGCTATAATGCAGGTATAATTCGTCCCTTCTTGTCGCGATCTTCTTGGCTCGTTTTCAAGTCTTTCCATCCGCGCAGAATCCTGAGAACTCGAAGCGTGAGCTGGAAGTCTTGTTACAGCGAAGCTCCGGTGAAATATAGCGGTGTTTCAGCACTGATGCCTTCACCGAACCTAAGACAAAGCGTTGGGTCTTCAGATCAGGCGGCGTGCAACATGGGGCAGATCTGTGAGCTCGGCCGCCGTGAGAGGATGAAGAATGAAGCGGTGGGTTCCGCGCACACGCCGCCCCGTTTCTCTACCTCCCTGCGTGGTTCCTCTCACCTACGTCACGCGGTACAGGTCGTGTTCGCACCGATGACAGTTCTAAGCCTTGCCGGGGAGAGGATCGACCGTGAATCGGGGAAGATGAACACGGCTGCCGTTCGGTCCGCCTAAGAAATGTACCACACGTACAACAACGCACCACGCTCCGCCACAACAACCAAACGACATCCGCTGCCAAAGCTGGAATCGGGTAAACAGTATGGCGATTGGACGTCGCAGCAGAATGTAGGGCAGGAGCGTCGTGACGCGCAGGATAGGAGAGACAGCAAATGATTACGTATGGCAGAACGGGAGGGGATCACAGGCGTATCGGATCCCATAATACCATCGATTGAGCTAAACTGTGGTTAAATCATTCCGCGGGCAGCGTTTCCAATTTAGCCCGTGTGTACTGCGCACTGTACTGAGTGGTGTGTGACGCAGCGCTCAAATGGCACAATTCTGGGGGGACTGTCCATTAACACCTGATCGTGTACACGGCCACGTAATCATCTAGAACGTAACGGCCGCTTGTAAACCAGATACACATTTATATACAGGTTACACGGGCCTGTTCTTAGTCACTAATGAAAGATAGCGGATGCTATCTGAAACGTCTGGTTCCTCGGAGAATTTATGCAGTTGCTTGGTTTATTTTGTATTACGTAACGTTATACCGGGGTGTCTTACCTTCGCTTGTACAGTCGGAATTGTTTACACTAAAGGAGCGACGGAGTCCGCACGGTTTGCTGGTTTTACATAGGCGTGGCGCTACACGCAGTCGCACGCAACCGAGGGGTCATTCGCTCGCTACATCTGAGGGTGACAACTTCGCACACAACAATACGTGATCATACAGGGGCGACCGCTAACGCCCACTGTGGCAAACTCCATTTTGAACACGATCATCCATGAGAGTTATAATCATACTCTCCAAGCAGTTTCATTATGTTTACCGAAGGAAAACATATTGTTTTTGCTCTGTTTCCTCTTCTTCTTCTCCAAACCAAAAAGGTCAATGACCGGGACCAGACGTCTCTCACCATGGTAACTGGTGTTGGATTACATCATGTTGAAATTTTATATGTACGAATATACCATATTTTATTATATATTCACCATATGTATAAATGTGTTTGAGAAAGAATTAACAGAGCAGACCATATGCGAATGTAAACATTATACATTTGCTTTGCAAATGTTATCTTTCTAGTATTTTTGACGTATTTTATTCGTTTTACCTGGCTTTCTTTTTTGTACTGGTACCTCGTTTCGTCAGCCAAATGGCTGACAAATACACTGCCTCGCCTTCATTGTCTTGCAAATTCCATACTGTCTTGGAGATTACGTTTTCCTTGGGACACAGAACGTGGAAAACGGCACGTCCCCTGTCTCTGGAAAGGGTGCGACGTCTGGTTTCCGGCCCGATCCTGAGACAGATCTATTACGGCCAATATACAGGTGGGGGAGGTGGAATTGACGCAGGTTTAAGATTAAACCCCCCAAACTGTTACGTGTACAGATATTTAGATTTCAACTGAATGTATATCAGGTTGCGTTGAAGCTGGAGTCCTTTCTAGATCAAAATGCTATATTTAGACGGCGTTCGTTTCCTGGTGCCAAATCTGAGCACATACAAAATTTGCAAATGTATGTATATCTATACATTTATGGATAGACAGTTTTTCAGTTCAGCCGTATCAGTCTTTTTCAAGGAATGATCGAGCAATCCATCGCATCATTGATGTGACTTCATGCAGTTAGAACACGTGTTAGATCAAAAGGTGCTGGAAGTTGGTGGCGTCCCCCGTCTCTAATAAGGGATGGTTGTAAGGTCTTGGTATCACTCTCGAACGAATGTATATCATGCACTAAAATATGTCAATTCAGTCTGCTGTCTCCAAGCGTTCACGAAACAACAACGTTTTGCTGAAGTAAGGTCATTTCCTTAAAATTTCATTGAAATGTACGATTAGAGCTCATTTCCTTTTATAATTATCATTGAAATGTAAAGAAAATAAGCTAACGCAATAAGTCTTTTTATAACTTGACGAAACTCACCTGGCAAATTAAAGGAGACACGGTACTAGTAGCGCACTGGAAACACTGGGCAACGACAAGCATTCAATAATGAAACGGCGTGGCCTTTCCGGTCCGGTTTTTCGGGGTCTTTACGTATTGATTTTATCTTTCGATACAAACCTTTGCCAACCGGATAACCTTTAACCTAGGCATAAGGCCATGTAGGACACTACCTAGAAACCGATAGAAAACGTTACGCTATCTTCCCAACATCTGTTTGTGGAGTGTCCAAAGTATAGTTGTTGACAATTGTTACAAAACAATATCAAATATCATTTTCTTCACTTTCCCATGGGTGCATTTTTGGTTCCAAAAAATAAAATACAAAATGCAAGCATGCAGCCTTTTGACAATTTATGAAAAGAATGCGGCCTTTTGACAATTTATGAGAAGAAAATTTTCTGATGTCTGTTGCTGTACAGTCAAAGGCATTATGACAAGTCTATATGCTTCTTACTTCCAGTAAGTCCATCTTGAATTTGTACTGTGGAATGTGTATTGCAAGGAATTCTGGGATAGGTCCATATTCCTCTTTGGAAAGTATCTGTACTGCGTACGGTATCAGCTAAGCGTGTCAATATTTTCCTTACATCGCTGGGCGGCGATCTGCGGCCAGGAATGCGGAGCTCCAACGCCCCTGCCTCGCCAATTCCGAGGCCGTGACTACGTTAAACGCCCTGCGGCATCTACTTATTGGTGCGCCGACGCGCTGCACATAAACACGGGGCCCCATTTTGTATGCTTGACTTGGGGTTGAATATTTGAGGTGCACAACACCGCCTACACACCACCTTTGTCTTGCGTGCGAAAATAAAAATCTGAGCCACAGAAACCACCACAATCACGGGTCAACTTAATCTTCAACTTGATCTTTTGGTGGCTACAAAGACAGTATCAAATTGGCCAGGCAGTATCCATTTGCCAGGCAGTTACCACTTGCCACACGAGGCTGGCGAAAGAAATCATACATACCAGTACAAAAAAAGCCCAATAAAAACGCATAAAACACGTCAAAAATTGAGAGTAAGCTCAACAACCATGGAAGTCTTGATTCAAATCTAGTTGATCCGTCGCTGCGGCAGTGCAGTTATGTTTTTGAGAGTATGTTCAACAACCATGGAAGTCTTGATTCAAATCTAGTTGATCCGTCGCATCGGCAGTGCGGTTATGTTTTTCAAGGACACGTCTGCCGTGTGTACGTGTATATCCTCCGCATGTTGCTACAACATCAAACTGCACGGATCAAATTTGGACCGACATCGAGCAAACATTCCCAGGCTAAATAGTTCCGCAAGCGCGATCTCTACCTATGCAACATAAATCCGTAGGAGCACGCAAACGATTTTTCTATCCGAGGACATTTTTAAAACTGTCTTCTATCACGGATTCCAAACAAATGATGGTATTCTGGTTGCGTAGATTGTTCCTGTAGAACTGACTTTACTGGTGCTAGAGGTGGATCCACGGAATGACGTCACGAATATAATTAGCTACCTCCCGTCTCATGCCGTTACCATGGCATGGGCGTAAAATTGAGGCATGGAAAAATAAATTATGGCCCTTCATATCTTGATTTCGGTATTCGGTGAGAATGTAGCAGATGTGTGTGTTGTTTTCTCTGAATTTGTCTTCTTTGGACTATTTTTAACTCGTGGTCAGTTGTTTTGGTGATATTTTAAATCAAGGCGGAAGCAAAACATAGTCTCCAAGGAGATATTTGGTAGCTGCAAGACAATATCAAATTGACAAGACATTGGCAGGTTAACTATCCAGTACACAAACAGAGTTTGGCTGGCGAGAAAAAAAATCGACAAACATCGGGAAAATGGGAAAGTAAACTAGAAAGTAAAATTTGCAAAGCAAATGCATGATGTTTACCTTCGCATATGGTCTGCTCTGTTAATTCTTACTCAAACACATTCATATATATGGTGACAGGAGTCTAAATCCCTCCTGCTATAAAATTGCAACATGATGTAACCCGACACCAGTTACCATGGTGAGAGACAGTCTAGTTGACCAGGTCAGAGGTCAGTGTTTGGAACGGAAGAAGAAGAGGAAACTGAGCAAAAACAATATATTTTCCTTCGGTAAGTATAAATACTTCGGAAAAATGGGAAAGTAAAGAACTGCACAGTCCTAGCACAATTGGACGTATTCTGGACTGAAATCAACACTAATATTCTATTGATTTTTTTTTTGTCGTGAATTCTTGCGCATTACGTTATAAGCCACGTTCAAAGCGCTGGAAACAACCCTCCCTCTCGGCCATGATCGATCCTACCGGTCTGCACTTCAAAGTCACTCTAAGGTCTTTCTCCACGTTTCCCAAACGAGCTAAATGGAGTAGAACAGATAGGATATTTTCGGTACCCTATGTTGAAATGGAAATAAAAGAGTTCCTTTCTTGTTTTATTATCATGTTGAATTCTCGTGTATATGTGGATATTTATGTTTCTACAGTTTCGATCATATTGACCGTTTGCTAATTTTAGATATACAGTGTAATTCACATGAGGGCCATAAATTATTGCACATTGAAAATCCTTCCATGTTTAAGGTCGTCCGAAGGATAAACCAATAAGCTTGTATATTCCAGAGTTGACAGGGACTTGTAAAGAATTCAGATTGTAACAGCCTTACGATAGGTAGTATGGCAGTTATATACTCTTTAAATCTCAAGATTTAACGTCCTGAGTTGTGAAGTACGCGCGTACATTCAGCAAGTTAAATCAACCCTTCTCCCACTGATATCTGTGAGGCAAAAATGTAATGTCGCTGACTGAAAACGGTTGATTTTTTTTTCGTATTGTAGGTTTGTTCTGTCCATTTTTTGGTTCCACCAAGAAATGGACTTGCTTTGGGGCCATTTCAAACGCTTCAAGTATGAAATGATGACGAAAATGTGCTAGGAAATGGCAGTAAATGTCAATATCACACAGATTTCCTCCTCCAGAATATTTCTGTTTTGCCGCCCTGAACTTGCCTCTAATCGTAAGATTTAACGCTCTGCTTTGTGAGGTATGAGCGTACATGTTTCGCCACGGCGGGGCAGCTGCGCTGTTGCTGTACGTGTGTGTAAGTAGTCTGTGCCCTTTACCCAGCGGTGAATGCCATCACGTCGATATTCAAATGTTGCAAATGAACTTATCGGGATCCTCCCACTGCCTGGAGCTGGGAATGATTGTGGCTACGTGACTCTCCTCAGCAAGGTCAACCATAGCCTCCTCAACAGGCTTCGGAACGGGCTTTTTTCAACCTTCATCAGACGGTTATGTTTTCGGATGGCGTTCGTGTGTTTGTCTGTGTGTGTCTGTAAACACGATAACACGAAGTTGACATCTCGTGATTAGAATACGCT